TATATATATATATATATATATTTGTTTTTTTTCTTTCCAGATTTCAGTTTACCTCCACTTTAGTTGGAGCCTCTTATTCAAACCTATCACCTTCTTCTCCTCACAACATCCTGGCTTTTAATGAAACACCAGACCCAAGTGTGCAAGCACAGCACAGCATTAAATGTCAAAATGATAATATGCACAACACAAGCTGTCACAGGTCGATTTGTGGATGGACGTCTTCATTTTTGTCCCTCAACACTGGTTATGAAATATTAATCTTTTCTCCAGGAGATGGCAATAGAGATCTACTCACTGTATTACTGAGGAAAGGGAGGCAATCTCAGCCAGTTGGTGTAGTGTAGGGTTATAAATGAAGAGGGAAATTGTACCTTTTGTCCCTTTGTGCATACAGCATAGCCAATTACACTGGCACCGTTGGAGGTCCCTGAAGGTGTCAGAGGGGGCGGCTTCCATCGGACCTGCAGGACCCCAGGAGTCTGACCACACTGGACCTGCACCTCCTGGGGAGGTAGAGGGGGCCCTGAAAACACACATGCACATCCGATGAAGAGGAGAAGAAGAAAAGCTCAGCAGCATTAAAAAAAATGAACACACTACCTTAGTTTCTTCTTGCAACATGGTATAAATTCAGATAAGTCTTACTCTACAAGAAAGTGTTTCATATATCAAGTACTTTAAAGCACAGGTTCCCTTGTTCCTTAAGGAACACTGTCCTGCATGTTTTAGTTGTTTCCAACACACCTGATTCACTGATTTAATTACGTCCATACATTCTGCAGAAGTCTGTTAAGAACCCATTCATTCCAATCAGGTGTCAAAGCAGGGAAACAACTAAAACATGCGGGATGGCGTTCCTCAAGGAACAAGGTTGGGAACCTCTGCTTTAAAGGGATAGTTCACATTTGGAGAAACAGTGACATTCTGACCAAACTCGTGAGACATCGGCTTGTCTGAGTGGGTTTATGGTTTTTTTTTTTTTATAACTCCAACTACACTGCAGCAGGTAAGATAATATTTGTTCATAACATTTCCACAGAACCCCAATTCAAATAATCTGAACTATCAGTGGAAGCAGCACGGAGATACAATCTATCCAAGACAGAGCTTCTTCAAAAAATGACTTTAGAACAGGATGTTTTGTTTTAATTTTTTACATTTATTATACAGAAGCATGTATTTTCCCATTGGGGGAAGGTGTTACTGGTAGAAAATTCAAAGTTTGCCAACATTCAGTCATCAGTGTTTGTAAAGAGAGCTCATGTTGCCAGATCCTTGCTGACAATTTTCTATGAGGAGAAACAGTTTGCCATTTCCACAGTCTGTCAGTGCTGCATGCATACTAAGCAACACGCCATCTGTGCAGCGCCGCCGCTCACCTGCAGTAAAAAGGTGAGCAGCAGCAGTCAGCAGTATCTCCATGCAGCTGACATTGTGTCTGAGGATCTACGCCAACACATTTTTAATCACACTCCCCATCAGCAGACAACATGGACTATGAGCAGCAGCAGAGGCTGTTTGAGATTCCATTTTCTCTTGTCATTTTCAAACTGCGCCTATCATAAACAAGCTCCCTCCACAAAGTGAAACCACTGTTCAAATGAATAGTTCACGGTAGCCGCTTTCATTAATTCTGGAAACAAATGGCAGACACTGGCAGTGAATTGTTGGTGGCTCCGTGTGACTAATATTGACAAAAAAATGTTGTATTGCCAAGGACTAATGAAGTGCCTTGTTTGAAGAACACATGCTGGGTGTAAAAGCCTAATATAAGGCTTTTAGCTGCGGTCATCCTTATTGACAACAGCGCTCTGCCACCCATCCTGACACTATTTCAGGTGCCTCTAATTAACATGTCCAATAGATGAATCGTTTAATGAACTCTCAGCGTGAGTCCACGTCAGCTGCCAAAAGGAAAATGTCAATTCAAGTCTTCAACCTCTCTGTCCTCCATTTTTCTCCATTTTCTGTCCTTACTTTCACTTCTTTTCCATGTTTCATGTCTGGCTCAAATTTTGCCAAACAACTAACTAACAGCAATCTAGCTAAATGGTTACACTAAGTTTTAGGATGTCGGGCAGCAAGACTGCTGGCAATCGAACAGCAGCAACGAGCCTTGTGGGAGAAAAAGTATTAAAGACATAAGCCTACTGTTTACACTCATTTGGCTGTGGGAGATTCTTATTTCTAGTACAATGTTGTTGTGTTTTTCATTAAATGTTCATTTTTTCTATAAATATGTCCATACCAAGGCACACAAATGCATTTGAGGGGCAAATGTGACCAGAATGAAAAGAGTGAAGGTGTTTGTCAGGGTAAAAAATGTGATGGGCTTTTAGTAACGACATTGTTTTGGTATTTGGAAATTAACTGTTTTAATTAGTTATGAGTATCCCTTTCATAGAAGGGGCTAGAACAATACTCTTAAAAAAATACATTTTAAAAAATCAACCTTATACACAAATCCTAAGAACTGCACATGCTCTTACAAAATTTTGTAATAAAACCCAAAACATTAACTCTGTAGTTCTGAAGCATGAAGAAACAAATCAGTTCACTGGAAATGCCATTTCTTCAGCCACGCATGCTTTCTGGTAATAGTCAATCCAACGGCGGCAATGCAGGCAGAGGCGTGTTAAAAATGTCTAAACACTGGGGGCTAAGCCCAACCCTGAAATATTTCAATTTTCTTATAAGAAATGCATCCTTTTAAAATAATTTAGATAAGTAAAATCAATGTAAGATGTGCTGTACCAGAGTGAAACTAATAAAATTAGTGCAGTGGGAGTTCTCATTCTAGTTTGCTGTAATTTTTATTAACTGGAATAAAACAGAAAAGGACATAGAGCCCTAATATTGATCAAAGATAAAGTGTATATTACTAATGTTTTTTTGGAGTTTTAAAATATATTAAGTAACATCATAAGTACATTTTCTTTCATTAACAAATGTTCTGAAAATGTGAGAAATGGTCTTATATCCTTGTCCTCAGCATTTTGTTTAGATCTTAAAGAGTCCTTTTTGCCTGCAGAGCTCAAGTTGGAGAAAAGTACAGATGCCCCTCTTAACCAGTCTGACTTTTAGATGAAACGGCTTCACTCTTTGCAACAACAGGATGCAAGTCCTCCTCCAGCCTAACATGCATGCACTTCTCTAAAGACAAAAACAAACTTATAGGTTCATCTAAAAAATAGAATATGGTGCAAAAGTTCATTTTTTTGTCCATCATTTCAGAAAGTGAAACTCATATTATATAGATTCATTACACAGTGAAACAGTTAAAGCCTTTATTTCTTGTCATTTTGAGGATTGCGGCTTATAAATAATGAAAAACAAAATTCAGGGTCTCAGAAAATGAGAATACTCCACAGTCAGCTTCTCAAGTTCAAGTTCAAGGTTCTTTATAGTCATTCGCATCACATGTGGTACATGAGGTGGAACAAAACTGTGTACTCAAGGTCCCACTCACCCCCCAAAATAGCAAAAATGTAAAGTATAAAAAGAAACAGTAAATAAGGATCTAAGATATACACTAAACACTAATAATGTAAAATAATATGGTTTATAAACAGTAGTCTAAACATGGTACCTTTCTGGTTCCACTGTCAGTGTGTGCAGGAGTCAAGTGCTGCTGGAAAATGAAATCAGCATCTCCATAAAACTCGTCAGCAGAAAGAAGCATGAAGTTTTCTAAAATGTCCTGGTGGACTTCAGAAAACTCATTGGACCAACACCAGCAGAGGACATGGACCCAAACCATCACCAACTGTGGAAACTTCATTCTGGACTTCAAACAAAATGTATTCTGTTCCTCTCCACTCTTCCTCCAGACTCTGGGACCTTGATTTCCAAATGCTGTACAAAATGTACTTCAATCTGAAAAGAGGACATTGGACCACTGAGCAACAGTCCAGTTCTTTGTCTCCTCAGCAGGTAAGACACTTCTGACATTGTCTCTGGTTCAGGAGTGGCTGGACTTGAAGAGACATGTGTAGCTCATGTCTAGGAGTTAATTAGCAGTGGTTCCCAACACTGGTCCTTGAGGAACATTATCCTGCATGTTTTAATTGTTTCCCTGCTCCAACACACCTGATTCAGTGATTTAATAACTTCATCAAGTTCTGTAGAAGCCTGTTAATCGTCCACTCATTCAAATCAGCTGTGTCAAATCAGGAAAACAACTGAAACATGAAGGGTGGTGTTCTTCAAGGACCAGGGTTGGGAATTACTGAATTAGCTGATGAGGGTGCGACACCATGAGTTTCCAATAATTAACCTCGTCATAATACCCTAATTTTCTGAGACACTGAATTGTTATGTTTTGTGAGTGATAAGCATCAAAAATTCAAGATAAAAGACGAACTATTCTTCTTCTTCCAGCTGTTTCCTCTTCAGGGGTCTCCACAACGAGTCATCCTCCTCCATCTCACTCTGTCCTCAGCATCTTCTGTCCTCACTCCAATGTCCAAGTCATAAGAGTAATGAATCTATGTAATATGAGTTTCATGTTCGAAAATGATTCAGAAAAAAATAATATTTATTTTATTATTTTATTTATAATTTATTATTTTATTATATATATATATATATATATTTTTTTTAATAATATATTTTTTTCATAATATTCTAATTTGGTTTACCTGCAGCTGTGACATCTGCACCAGAACTAAGCTAACACATTGTAATAACAATTACCAGCATGTCAGAGGCATATTTAAAAGGTATTTGTATACAAAATATGTTTGTGATGAAAGTATTATGAAGAATGCTGCTTGTAAAAAATACAGTGAGAACAGAAACCAGTTAGTTTGTTTTCAGGCTAAAATATTCAACAGTCATATTATTTTAGGAGTTTAAGAAGCGAATTGTAATCTGTATGTTTTATACTGTATTTCTCCTGACATAAGGGCCAGAGTTAAATCGGTGTCCAGGTCTAACTATACCAATACATAAAGCATGTAAAAATATACTCTCTTTGGCATACAAAGGACATTAAAGAGCAGGTTTGGTTTCAGAGGCTGACCTGCAGACTGCGTGCAGAACTCCACAGAGATTTCCCTTTTGTCCCTTTGATCCACTGGAAGCTGCCAAGGCACCTGATGTGGCTGTGCGACAACCTTCACTTTGTAAACTGTCATTGGCTTCAAGTTCAAAAACTTGTACTTGTAGCCCCCAGCCTTGACCATGTCATACTCCGCACCGTTGAGGAAGATGGTGTGACTGTAGTTGCTGTTGCTGGGCATCCAGGAGAGCTCAGCAGAGCACTGCGTGATGCTGTCCACCCGGAGGTAGTAAGGTGCCACCACCACATCTTTTCCAACGAGGAGAGTGCACCGCAACTCGTCGGACGGGCCTCGATTCGTGATGCTCTGCACGGAGATCCGGTAAGTGTTTGTGACAAGATTGAGCTTTTCAATAAGAGATTTTGTCCTACCCCCATAGGGGACACTCATCCGAACCTCCTTATCAACCAGTACATTGTAGCCATTGATGGAGCCCCATCCTGGTGGGACAACAGGAGGATCCCAGGCAATAATCACACTCTTAGCCAGTTGTTTAATCAGGGTGATGCGGCGTGGATAAGGCACAATGTCTTCACCGACCTCATCAATGTTGACGTTCAAGGTTCCTGTCCCATTGCTGGAGGAGCCCAGGAGGTCCACGCCCAAGCTGCTGGTGCTCAGACAGTCGAGTTTACCATCAGGCAGCAGGCTGCTTAGGCCAGTTCTTGTTCCAGCACCAGCCAAAAGCCGCTGAGGCCCCAGGCTACTGTGGTTGAGGTAACCAGTTTCTTTATCTACTGTGTCCCTGTGCTGGACAGGAGGCTTGTCCTCATTGTCAACAAAGTCCACAAAGTTGGATGGGACAAGTCCTCTCTGTCCGTCCAACAGCTCTCCTGAAAAACAGTGAGAATTCAGTTGGTAAAGCGGTGATGTGTCAAATAAGAAAAGATTAACAGCATTAAAAGAGCATCAGACCTTCAAAAAAGCCATCTTCATCCATTGTTCCGTAAATGTAGAGGTACTTCCCGGCCACCAGGGGGAGCTCTGCTTCTGGATGCTCATTGGGCCCATCGTATGGATTGTAACTGAAATTATAAACCAACAAGTGAACAGCTCAAATTAGAATATTTCAACAAGCATAATTTGACCCTATTTTGTTA